ATTTTATAATCAGTTGTTAAACGAATTGAACAACATAAAATCCATTAATGTTATTAAAATCATTATTGTATTATTATATATTATTTAAACACATAAACGTGGGTACAAGGGGGCACCATATATATATATATGCGCCACATAAGTCACTCGATTTGTGTGAGGGCTGGGATACTGTTCGGGTGCCCAGACCAAAGCAGGTGGTTTTCTTAGCGGACCACACCCAGAGCCTTCGACCTAAAGGTCCAATTCACAAGGCAGTGGAGCAAAGGTAGATGCTGTCAAATGGTAGACGGTGACCAACAATAAGTTCATACATCATTTGTTTCTTCAGGATACTGGGACCCATGTAAATTATTGGTTTGGAATCAGGTCTTCCAACTCCCCTAGGTGGATCCTCAATATCTACCAACCCGGTTAAAGCACCAGACATTCACTTTTCATCCTCTCAATTTCGTAGACAACATCCCCGCCGCGAGAGTAGGCAATGAGTATGAGTTTCTTGGCAGTGATTGTATGCACATGGCCGCGTGAGAGCTGACTCTCTACTCTCTTGGCCGTACCAGAGTATTTGGAGGCAAATCGTTATTGAGGAATTTTTCAAGAAATCATTCCAGCATATATGTTATAATTCTCATTCTATGATATGGCTTTACTGAATAATTGTTTCTTAATAATAGTCTAAACGCCTTTCTATAATTGATTCACAATTAAGGTATATTTACTCTTCAATACTAAAACATATTGACAGTGTCAACTTACTGTATTGGCGAGTAATTAATGTATCTATTCTGATCGAATATAATGCCTATAAATAGCAGTCTTGATTTCTTCTCTTGACTAGTTATTCTGTACTAGCTATACAGAAATGCATTCAGCCTAAATTTGGCGATTTTTTTCAGTCACACAATCCATAATAAAACTTTTGTCAATCAGCCAAGTGATCACAACAGTATTCATTTTAATAAACAGAAAAATTTGATGATCCAGTCACACTTGAAAAGAACTTAATGACTATTATTAGCAGAACAGATGAAACTCGATATCAAAATATAGTGATGATATTCATAATTATGCCAACTTGCACTCTTAAACAAACGACCGTTTTAAGCATAGTTGAATGGTGGGTAGCAGTGGAAACCAGGATATGCGTCTCGTCCTACTTAGAATTCGTCATCTAGAAGTACCTGTATCCCAATGTTGATGTTCACCCGAGCCTCGAGGTATGCCAAAAGAGACTGATCAATTAGAGCTCTAAACATCAATCGAAAGATTCAAGCAAGCAATACAAATGAACTAAACAAATGTTTTATTGCTAATCGAATTAACAATGTCATTGTATTGAATCAAACTACAACATGAGAGCGAAAGTTAGGATGTAATCATCAGTTCTCAAGTTCAATCACAATATTTACATCATGAAATACAATCCTGTTAGTAACAATCAATTTAGTTCATTGTAAAACAGATTAGCGAAAATTATGGAAAATTCACTTATAAAAGTATCTGGTTTACCACTGGACGAAAATATCTCTCATAAATATTAAAATAGATTTATCTACCCAATTTTATCTGAATACAATATTCCCAATATTTCCGAAATACAGTATAGATCTTAAATTCATAGGTAATTTATGACTGTAATATGTATGATTATGCTACATAGTACAGATTATTTGAAATCAGTCTACAAAGTTCCATGAGAACTAACGTAAGGATAAAATTTAAACCCTTCACATGGCTTATTTTCACAGTATATGAAATACTACTGAAGATTTATTGACTCTATAAGAAAACATTTTGAATTTCCCAAATCACGTGGGATATTCTTCAAACAGATCATAGTAAATACACACATTTATTTGTAGTTTATAAATTTTGTTTAAAATACCATTATTATTAAGGAATTGATTTATCCCATTTTTGATGCTTGAAGTGAAATCTACTTGCTTAGAGCCTCGATATCCAGCTGATGAGTCATAGGGAGAAACATACATCCTGGATTTCACCACTAGCCACAATCCGCTTATACTCAATCTAAAATATTAAAGTTCTTGAAGCGAGTTAAATCCTGTCCTTACAACTGTTAGTGAAAAGGAATGAATTTTGTTTGGATGGTAGGAGAATAGTTATAAACAGCTGAAACAAACTGAAATGAAAGAGTGGATTAATATGAACATAGAACTGTATTTGTATTAATAATACACGAATACTTATATGAACATTAGATGCTTATATTTCACTGAGCAATGGAATATTAAAAGACAGGACTTGGCTCACAAGTGCGAAGAATTAATATTTAGTAAAATGAACACTATATACATTCTTAAGTAACCTAAAATTACAAAGGAAAAAGTGATTAAATGAATTGTCCTAATTGGTCTAATAATATAATGAACCATCCACAACTTCCTTCAGATCATAACAAATCCCGAACAAACCATTTCATCAATAATAAAATCGTCAGTAGTAAGGAAATTCCACATAGATTTATCGAAGTTCAAGAGGAAAAACCTAATTTACTTAGTCAACAAGAGGGTGAGTTAGCAGCTCAACAATTACATCGGATACTAACAAAGTAATATCATAGATTGACTGAGACCAAAAAAAGTCACATATTGCATTCCAACTCAGTGGCATCACAAGAGAACTGGAAGTAAAAGGTTTGATCCTGTGTACAGTCGCAGGTGCACACTCCTGAAGAGCGCCCATTGAGATACGATAAACGTGAAACCATGTTACAATCTTAGTGATACTCAGTATAAAATTCGTTTTAACTCAAAGTGACATCTGTTCAACATGACATCAGTACTTAATTATATTAAGTGTGGTGTTTGCCCAGTGCTGTGTAGTTCCAGTTGGATTCACATTATTCCAGTTATGTATATTTGTTGACTAATCATCAAATATCAGTAAAATCTGTACATAAATGATTGTATTTTGTCCAACAAGTTGCTGACGTGTTTCTTCCTTAAGAAGGATGAATAAGATCTTCAGCAGTAATCGGTTTTCCTCTTTTTTCCTGCATCATACAAACCTGTTCCCCGTTTTTTTATTAGTCTAGTTCAAAGTGGGAATATTTTCAGTGGATATCAGTTCGTGACAAATTTTTCTATTTTCTACGAAAACTTTATTTGACAACTATTACTGTTAAAATAATTTTACTAACTTAAAAATCTACCGACTAATTTTCCTTTGCTTTATTCATGTAACATCATTCTAACTTTTCCGATTTAACAATTTAAATATCACGGAACGATCCTAATTAAAGAAGCCACTGAAAACCAGGAATCACTGGAAAGTTGCTTCGTCCTAGCATGGGACTTATCAGTAATGTGTATCCACAACCCTAACAGCAGGTCTCGAACCCAGAATCTTCGGTATTTAGTACGAACGCTTAACTTGTAGACTAGTGAGCTGAAATTCAATAGCTTACATGTTTAACTTCATTCAAATTGTAATGTCGCGCAACCATCTTTTAATGTATTTGATGAGTAACTGTCTTACAGTGGACATAGTTGAAATACAGAAGTCACGGTTTCGCCCTAGAGCTCTAGAGCTATTGCTTGAAGTTGGTCACAAGCTAGCAGTTGTTTTATAAAGATAATTCCACCATGTTAATCAAAATTAAAATCTACCTATTGATCAAAAATCACAATAAAACTTTCCATTAAGTAGTAATTTATATTATTTACAGTACCTTTTACCAACAAACCAAAAATAAGAAAATATTTTGTTAGATCTAGTTCAAAAATTAAATGAATGGAAATTGCTCAAATGAGAAACGGAAATCCATCCAATTGGAAGATAGATTTCAACATGAATTAACATTACCAGGACAACTGTTGGTTATCACTATAATGAGGTGATGAACCATTTAGTTGTGGTGTTTGAGACTACTAGAAACTCCAGTTAGTTATCAGCTTACAAGTATATTAATTCTATCTGAAAATGATCATAACCTACCTTAATGTGGACTAGTCAGAAAAACAGTAAAAATTCATTTTCTAGAGCATAAATAAGACAACAATGTTCTTAATCAGAATACCGGAAAGACTGTTCGTGTTGTTTGTGGTAGGAGAGAAAAGTCGATTATGCTCTCTTCCAAGTTGCTTAAATATCAGAATGACTTTAGATTTCAAATATTACTTTCTGAGAATGCTTTCACGTTTTTTTTAAATGTTTCAAATTACCACACATTTGACAATTTGCAAGCATACTTCTAAATCATTACGTTGGTTTTACTGTACCAACCTAGAAACAAAACATAGTCAGTGTGAAAATGATGCTAAATTTGGAAAATGATAAAGAATAAATGCATCTGTGCTGTACGGATTTAAAACTATATACATAATTATCATTTATATTTATCTCATGAATAACAACAACAAAATAGTCAATATCTTTTAACACAACTAAAACTAATACTGGATGATTTCATCTCATCATTACAGTATAATAATCTGACAATCAATTGAGTCAATAACAGGATAACAATAAGGGATATTTGCGAGGATATATAAACATTGAAGTTTTATAACCGTACAAAATTCGGTAGTTTCAATATTTCTCATGTGAATGATTTCAATGTATATTTCACACTAATCATTCATTAACGTTAATTGTCCTAACTAAAACATTGAAAGTTAGTAGTATGTAACAAATATTATTTTTCCTCAGTAAGCACATATACATAAGGTTGTAAAATATCAATTAACTTACATTTTTCAACTACAAATACTATTTACTTTTTATTATGAAATATTACGAGACACTTGAAAAGTAACAAAACACTTTATAAATGTAACCTAAAATGAGTGTTACTTCCTCTAATAAACAAATGTTACAATACTCGACTGTTATTCACATCTTTTTATACCTTGTAATGGTAATAATAATAATAATAATAATAATAATAATAATAATATTTTAAATGAATTATATAACATCCAGTCATTAAATTACTCATTTTCAACTACTCAATAGAAAATGTGACCTCAATTACTATGTAATCCGTATATTTTGAAAATAGTTAAAATAAAAATGAAACAATAAATATCACAGTGTTATGCATGCATTTATGTATTGTGGAAATGACAGTACAATACAGAAGCAGTAATAAACAAACAAAAGAAAGAAATCAACTGCACCTGTACAAAGGTTTATAATAGTTAGTAGTAGTAATAGTAATGTTTAACAAATTTCCTACTTAAAATAGCAGTGCTCAAGCTAAAATAATAGATGAATTAATGATATACTGGCTTATTATTAGTTAACACAGTGATATTTGACAGTTGTTTATTATTTTCTACAACATTTTGTTGATGTATATAACCAGTATAAGATAGAGGATGTTGTACAGGTGGAGATCCATGAAAGAAGGCAATCTATAGGAGGAAAAATAAGGAATGCAAAAGCGTCATTTTGTAAACGAGTGAAAATGAATAACAGAAATAAACAGTTGAAATGTTTAAGGACTGAAACAATATTATGCTGTTAAGAACAAACTGGCATTATCATTAATTAAACTTCGACTAGCAATCAGGTAATATTTATAAATAGTTGTCTAAGCAAGATACTCAACATTCGTAGGTCAGACACCGTCAGCAACAGCCTACTCCGGCAGAGGACAAACCAGCTTCCAGATGAAGAGAAAATTAGGGTGGATAGGACACAAAGCGGAAATCGTCAGACTGCATTAAAAAGCAAGCCCTAACACAGAATCCCCGAGGCAAATGGAAAGAGGGTAGACCAAAAGACACACTGCACCGGAAACTGCAGGTAGACATCGAAGGGATGAGTAGCGATTAGAAACAATTGGAGAGGAGAAGCCTGGTCTGCAGCCTATGTCTCACGAGGGGTAACGGGTGTAAGTAACAATCAGGTGATAAGTAATAAAGAAAAACCACGGCCTAAATATGTGGTTGTGGGTAGACACTTTTTTAGTTTAGTAATTCCAAGAAGTGAGTGCGAACACCAAAAGCGGCTTTGTCAGTCATTTAATCATAAACAGTGTAGACACTGGCATAAATGTCCGTTAACTCAAGTTGCCAGACCATAACAGTAAATTGAGATGAAAATAACAAGATAAATGGCAAAGGAGTCAAAACAATAAAGTAGCAATGATAATAAGTAAGAATGGATATTAGAAACACGGTTTCAAAAAAAACGGGGTGAAAATGTTTGCTAAAAGAAATACCGAAAATCAAGATGTAAAGGAAAATAAATAGTGAATAGATAGGCGTTATTATGATCTACTCTCCAACCCCAACCGCAGCTAATCCTTTGATGTGTTGATCAGTTTGTGTACTGTGGTGACCCGATTGAGGTTTGATGGGAGTAAGGTGCTCCTCCAGACACAACCAGAATCTGCAGTAATCTAGTAATCTCACAACGGAAAAGGAGAGTGAAAACGATCTGACAATACCTCGGTGCCATTACACCACTGTACAGCCAGCAAAGCAACTTCATTCTCGGATTTAAATTTTACTACTCTCCTTCTTGGTATGATAGGACCCAAATTGAAAGTGTTACAACCAGTACAGCTTGATTTAGCCATCACGATACACGAGACCGATCACCAAATACAGGTAACCGCTACGGCTACAGTATTCAAACAATTAATATATTAATGGCTGAAACGCTTAATTACTGGGTCTTAAGTTCAGACTACAGCATACTTCTGTATGAGCGCTCGGTACAGCTAAAATAATTGAGTTCCACATATAGATTTTTAAGATTTTGCACAATTAAAATCACGACCCTGATTGCGTTGTAATTAGTGTTACTTTTTTCTTATCACATTATACTCTATGATGGCTAGTAATATTACACAAACTGAATCAGGTGGCGAGGGATTCAAACCAATAACCAAATATTTATTTATTTATTTTAACACATAGATATTGGTACAAGGAGGCACCAAATATATATGCGCCACACATATCTCATTTGATGTGTGTGAGGGTTGTGATACTGCCCGGGTGCCCAAACCGAAGCAGGTGGTTTTCTTAGGGGGCCACACCCCGAATAACCAAATGGTAAAAGGTTGAGAGGTTTGATAACTAATCAATCAGCTTAGACTTAGTGTAGACTTCATAATATGTAGTTTAAATATATATTATTGTTTAGTGTTTACAACACGTTCGATAAATAGTAGTATAACAGTGTAAAAGATAGTAATAATGTAAACTGTGTTTGCAATGGAAACCTATCTAAGAATGATTATGCATTAAATACATGATATTATGAAAATTAATTATTCTAAAAATAATATCATGAATTTTAACAACTTACCATTAGAGCCAACGAAAAACCAAAATGTACTACAATTATAATGATCATTATTGGTGTTGCAAGCTGAAAACAAAAATAGGTTGTTAGTAATTTACGGTGGTGTAACCTTGAAACATGTCTAAAACAAATATTAAAAAATTGTATCCTTTTTGAATGATGAACGAGTGTAGAATTTTGAAAAGTCCAGTCAAATACATTTGTGTTTGAAATTGATAAATCATTCTACCAACACGTTTGAATTGTCTTCCTAGCAGATTCCGATATCCCTAACCACTTCTACACGTCATCTAGAACACAGGAGAGAAGGTTCGAATTGTGGGTAAAAGCTTCTCTCAAAACTTCGTCTTTGTACAGAAAAAATGTTATTTATGGATTTAAACACGATTTTGGAATTAGCAGTATATTAGTAGTATAAGTAAATATCCAGTCAAAACGGTGGTACGTGATACTGCATTTTCTAGATGTTACTGAGAAGTTTCTATTCAACGTTGATTGGATAAGACGTTTCCTACAATTTCTGGGTCTCTAGGAACTTTGATGAGGAATATCTTTTTGGATTCCAACAGAAATATAATATACTGATGGAAGCATTTGAGTACAAGATGCTATTGTTCCTCACATTGAGAAATGTTTAAATCTGTATCAGTTCCATAGTGTGAGGCAAGAAATAGGCAACTTGTACAACGCGAATCAACTTTCACTTTAGTGACTGCAGTTTAGATAACTAATAAATTTACTTTCTCTTATTTTGCGATTAAATCCTATGGAATGTAATCACAGACTTTGATATTTATTAAAAAGATGTTGAATGATAGTTTTCTAAACACGGAGTACAAATACATATGTTGCTTTAAGTTAATTATCTTTATATATTGCTAAACATCAATGTTATAATAACCAGGAATTCACATTCTGTAATAAAGTTATGTATATATAATGGAAGATCAGTCTAGATTTGTCATCTCATTACAGAACAGAAACCTAGAACTTCGTAAGTAAGAGAATTAGGTTGATACCAGGAAAAACCTAAACTATCAGTTGTTCGAATTCAGTTGCAAGGATATAAATATCCCCAGTTATTGATCTTAAGGATCGATACTCATTCGTTTCTTTTGACATGTGAATCCTGAGAGCATTGCTTTGATATTACTACAAAGTGAACAAAGAGTAGGGTGTTTGAAAGAGAGTGCACTGAATTCTGATATGAACATCAACATAGAGGTCCAGGTACATCCATCTAGTGAGTCCCAAATATGATGAAACGGGAATCCGCGTTTCCAATGCTAGTCACTGCTATCCGAATCTGATTAAAAATATTGTCCCATAGAACTATTTAATAAGCAAAAGAAAAGTGAACAAATACAAAATTAAACAATAAAATAAGAAGATATACTCACCTTTGGATATTCTTTGCGTATACTAGGCATTAAAGCAAATACTAGGAATGCCCCAGAAATTCCTATTCCAACTAAGAACAATAACCATTGTAGTATACTAATCTGAATTGTCCATAAAATCTATGAATTGTTGGGGAAAATACAACACAAATAATAATAATAATAAAAGTTCAATTGGAATAACAAAATTTTCATATGAAAACGACCAAGTCCTCATTTTTGGAATGACAATATAATTTACGTTAGATCGCCCTATCATGCGTTACAGTTAATGTGAGGCGATATTTCGCTGTGATCCAGTAGCTGAAAGTTGAGCAATAAGACCAGTGAACAACAGATCTACTTTCAAACAAACGACCCTAATCAGGGTATGATCAGAGCCTAAGGGTATGCTCAAAAAAGAGATAATTTATAACCGTAACCAATAGTAACACGGTCTATGTTTACTGCAATACGAACGACCACGTCAAAAAACGTCCCGGTGTGAGCTATTATTTAAAGTTCGAGAACAACCAAACAATAATACTACCTAGTTATTCAACTCGTCAAAACCACCTCCTACATACTCTAATCTACATTAGTCTACTCTCAACAGCCTCCAACCAAGTGGTTTTCTTACATCTAGTTAGGTTGAACAAGAGAAGGAAGGCCCTATAGTAGCGGAACCAAGTTACAGATTAACCAACATGATGATTAGTTGTAATGGAATTTAAGTGTAACCAGATTAGACATCGGGTGTTATTTCATATTTGAGGAGAAATATACCCAACAATGAACTTGAACTGATAGCACCACTTTCAGTTGGATTTTCTACAAGTTTAATGTTAAACACTCAGTTTGATTACATAATCACATTCTAAGTAGCATATTATGACCATATGGACAAACAAACATAGTTCATTATAATGTGATAACCAGATCACACTTTCAGAAGAGACGCACACGTGAAACTGTTTGGTGTTTGTAATGCAGAATCATAGCTGTTTATCCAGAAGAAATAGGTTGATTTAAAAATGAATAGTATGTGCTGAATTGTTAGATACACTTTGTAATCTGACACAAAATAGTGCACCAAAAATATTAAACTACATAGTTCAGTAATCATATTAGGAAACCCATAAACATAACTAAACTAATACCAGTAACTAGAAAATATATCAAATGAAATAGAATACAGATAGCAATACAGTAGTTAATCAATGAAAGGAACATAAGCATAAGAATATCGAGACACAACCACACAAGCAATTACCCATATTTTAAGCTTTTACACATGATAAACAAAATTACTACTATGAGTTGATAGAGAAGATTAGAACTATAGGCTTCGGATATCCTGTCTTGTAAACGATCTTATAGCGGGGAACAATATCAATCCATTCCCAACTACGAATTTCTGACTACACGAATTAATGACTCCCTTTTCAAACTGTTGTAACTCACAGTTTGAGCGGCTAAATATATCGAGGTACGACGTCTCGACAGCTCTCATCTTTCAGGAAAAAAATGGAATAGGTGAGTACCACAGTATAAACAGTATTTTACAAGATAGAACAATCAATAATAAACGATGTCAGTTACAGGGTACTGTCATGTAATATGTTGGGGTAATAAGATAACAGTATTTGTTGTTGTGGCTTATACACCCCAACATAAGCATTTAATTGACTATAAATTATGATTTAACTACCACACGATAAATATATCTCTACACTAAAATATTAACGGCTATTATTATGAAAAATGTAGATAAGGGTAATCAAAGTGAGTAAACATCAAGGAACATGCATTACAGCTAGACACTACAACAACATACACATGATAATTTACATTATCAATAAACAAGTCATTTACAATTACTAAAACCACTAATGTAACCAGTATAACTCACTGCAACAGGAACGAAAACTGCTAGTGAATAACCATAGGTCGACAGAACATCGAAGAATTTATTCGCATGTTTTGCATTGTGAAATGGTGATGAATCAGTGTCGGAACGCTCCAATAGGTCAGTGAGATCGCTTTCAGCATCGTTTGACTGGGGTTTCTTGTTTCTAAGATGAATGTGCATAACTGCATGCAACAGCAATGGTGTTAGCCACCAATACACATAAATGATAGTTGATGTCAACGTAACTACGAAATTAAAAAGTGGATAATTAATACTCAGTAAAATTACAGAGGGTGAGTGATTGAATAGTTTTTTGATTAGTTATAAATGCAAACGTTAGTAGTCTATGTGGACACCATACTATAGATACCAGTTGTGAAGACGAAGACCTAACTTGTAACACCACTATAACTGATAGAGGAAAATGCAGGAATTGAGAATTGGTAGTCTTTAGGTTAAAATACTTATCCTGAACCAGTATATTTTGTGTCCAAACTCCGCTTCGCCTGATTCAATTGTAGTATTACTAATCCTACCTCTACCATTAGGGGATTTGAATCGACAATTGTATCTTTGTGCTGATGTGGTATGGAAACTCGAACTGATGTACGTACATACGAAGTTCTACGTTGCTGCTGACTGACTGAATGTGGACCAAAGTTGAGTGAATAAACGTGCACTTGGTGTATGCATTCATGAAACAAATGATTGAGAGTCCACTTTAATTAAGAATAGCGGGTAAAAGCTTAAAAATGGTAAACCTGAAAGTCGTGAAAATTGAAGTAGTAACCCATCAAATAGAAAACTTTACGTATCCATTACCTAAAAGAACAATATACGCAAACATGCTGTCATTGTAAATCTACTGACCATTCTAGAAGAATTGATGAACGAAACATGTAAAGGGGTAGTATGTAGTCTTTTAAATGACGCTAGGGAGTAATTATTAAAAAAACTAACAGTATTAAATCATTTGACTTTGAGACATTACTCCAGGGTTGTGGGAACTTTACACAAGTAAACATGAAGCTTAAGAACGGCTTATAGTAAACTGGTTGAAATTATGAAATCAATACGCTAACTAATTTCAATTGCTTTATCACAATACTTTTAGGTATTGAGCAAAATGCCTCCTGATAAAAAAAATTTCTTTTTTCAACGTGAATTTAAAACCTAATACACGCAATACGATTACGACCCTAGGTAAATCCTACTCACTTAAACTCATCGAATTAAATTCTTTGTGATAACGTGAATAAATGTTGATAAAATTTGAAATTTTTCTTATCAGACAGATTGGTATGATCTACTTTTAAAGACTGGTTTCCTGAGCGTTTGGTAGCTTTTTTAAGAAACTGTGTAAGCAAAAATCATGGATAATAAACGACCAACTGTTTGCTACTTAAATGAATCATAAATGTTGAAAATTTCAAATTGAATGCAACAGTGCGTGAAACGAAACACACCTTTCTGAAAATCATAATGCCATGAAGATACCTCACCACGTGATTGCAAATAGTTGGATATATTCCCCCCGATGGCGGCAGCTAACATCAACGTAGTTGAAATCCAAAATGGACCATAGAGATCAGCTCGGGGTTTTAGAGAGTGTTGAATGAAATTTATACGCGGGTTAGGTACGAATGCAGAGGCAAGACGATGCAGAACCTACATAATGATGTAAATGGCTATGATAAAGGTTTTAGTAACAAAACTTTACTCGTACGCAGCGTTGAAATAAGAATAGAAATGATTACTTTCACTCTCAAACAATGACTTAATAGATTGCCTGAACAAAAAAGACTAAAGTGTTATAGGAAATATATTACACTTCTCAGCGTTATGTGGGCAAGTGAAAAAATAGGAACAAAAGCAATCGGGACATGACACGTTCCCATAACCTTTTCTTGCTGAATGCTTGATTTCTGAATCAACACTCGAACAGACTGATAATGACTACTGGACTAAATAGTGGTTCATAGATCATATCACATCTCACACAGCTAACACATAATAACCTTGAGTCAGCATGCTAATCATCAGTTTATAGATAGCATTTTTCCGCAGATATAACTTTATTTTAGCGTTTTGATAACTCATCCTATATATCATTGCTCAATATATTCTAAATAATGAACGCACAGCTGTCCACTGTACTAGTCACCGGCTATATATCGGTTTAATAAATCGTTATACGCACATTTATTTTACATGATGTGATACCAGAATGCGTTAATGAATAAAATTGTCTGCATACTTAAAACGCTCTAGTAACTGAGGTTGGTAAATTTAGTACACATTCAAATTATCCCAAGTGTACAAATGCATTTTAAACTATCATAAATGATCACAAAAGGTTTTTGTATACTCAGAAGTACTTACCTGACTTGTATCAACATCGAAGTACTGTTGGTAGAACTTAAAGGTGAGAGGACCCAGATTGGATTCCGTTTTTGGACTTTCAATGCTAGTCTAAAACGAACTTGTGTAAAACTGGCTTCTTACCTTATGTTCTAAAATCCCTTGAAGTTCTTGGTCCCCTTGATCTTCAAAACTCCCCGAGAGTGGTATCCGAACATAATCTCCGTTAGACATCGACATGCCAAAGTATAAAATATCCACGTCAATCGATGACTACAATAATGGATTGTAGAAATGGAACTGTTTCTGTGTAGCTTGTCAGATGATAATTGCTAATTTGTTATCTACAAAAGAAACAGTTTTTATTAATCTGCTGACCGACTGACTAACTACTTGTACTGTAGAATATTAGACGTATTACAATGTTGTTAAGATCTATTGCTGGCTAGTCGAACAATTGGCACTAGTATGGAAAAATTGAAGTCATTTTTTGTCCTTATTTGATAAATAAGACCAACCTATTTGATTAGTCCGCCTAGAACCTGGAAAGTCAGTGCTCCTAGCTTCCCATGGTATATGCTGACTTTAGAGGTAAATTGTTCAGTTTTGACGAGACCCAAGTCGACCAAAAATATGCTGATGGTTGGAGTAAAGTCGATTGTGGAAAGGTATAGGATCGCAAAAACTCAACCCTTAGCCCTTGTATGGTTACTCCTGGTCCAAAGCCCAGGTAGATGGGCAAGGGGTCAACAACTCCATCCCGTAGAATACAACCTTGCTAAAAAAAAGCTAACCAGAAAAAAAAACAATTTAAACCATTCAAACCCTGCCATGCGAGTTGAAGGATCTTCATTTAGAAATATGATGCGCCGTAGTGAAAGCTGACATTCTTTATGTCACGGGGTCGATGCGCCTTCTAACAACCAGAGCAACAATAAATATAGGCACATGAAATGTCCGGACAATATAGGAGACCAAGAGGATCAATCAAATGGCCACTGAGATGAGGAGATACAACTGGGCAGTGATAAGTATAAGTGAAACCCATTGGACCAAAGCTAGACAGAAAAGATTAGATTCGGGAGAGATGCTGTCGTGCTCTGGTCATGAAGACGAAAATGCTTAGCGCACGAAGGAAGTTTCTCTGACGCCGTCCAAAGAAGTACGAAAAGCATCTATAGGATTGGAATCTTATGGATCCAGGATCATTAAATCACCCTTCATAACAAAGAAGGAAGGGATCACAATAGATGCTATCCATAGCTATGCACCCACCACTGATAGCAATGAAGAAGATAAAGGCCAGTTTAATGAGGCTACAGTCGGCCGCAAAGAAGTGACTGGGAAAGAACCAGACCATTCTGATGAGAAACCTAATCGCTAAAGTCGGAATGGACAACACTGAATTTGAAGATATGATGGGATGATACGGACTGAGAAAAAGGAACGAGAACAGAAAGAGATCTGCAAATTCATGTGCATTCGAAATGTTTGTTGGTGACACCATATTCCCCTACAAACTCTGATAGATGCATTATCTTAAAAGATTATCTGTTTGGTACTAATATGGCATTACTACAAAATGATGACGAACTTGAAAATTTTGGTAACCCCGCGTCACAGGGCTGGTTTCACAAGGTCAACTGCCCAATATTTACTCATTCAGTCTTAATTATAAAAAAATAATAGGTTTTTCGGTTTTATGCACTTTTTCAGTCTCTAGCTTGTTCACTGGATGGACTGATAACACGTTCAGGTTGATCGGAATGCTAATGTGAGATCCTCTCTCATTCTACGAAACTAGGGTCAGATTAAGTAATCACCTTATTCGCTCATCATATGAGAAATATGAGGGTTTTAAGAACCTGTTACACATTCTCTCACACTCCAAACTTTTTTATCATCTTCATACAGGAATGATAACAATCTAAACAATTTGGGTCCAACACTTTCCGAAGCAGTTCTTTCAGTGAGCGCACCTTTCGTTCTTTCTATTTGGCTTCTACGGACGGTTTTTAATCCAAGCCTATCCTCTCCATTAATCCGAATTTGGGAACTTTACTAGCAATAGTGGTTAGGCCAACAACTCAGTCACGTAGGTCCTGACTATTTACATCCTTAAAAATGATTACTTCTGTCAATATATGTTGTTTGTGATTTATTCCGTGGCTAGTTTGAGTTGCAAATACATTACTCGTAACTCTCCCAACAGAGTTCATTCAGACTTGAATACTGGTCCATACTTAACTACTACTACTACTACTACTACTACTACTACTACTACTACTACTACGAATTGAACAGTTCTGAATTTCACGAGTTAGCATAAAAATTCTACTACCTCTGGTTTCCACACTATATTAGGTGGGTGACGCCATGTCACTTCACACCAAACAGAAACATAAAATAAACGAACGGTTAGAAAAAAACTGGTAAATGACTACATTCAAACATTTGTTTTATTATCTTGAAAGTTATACCTCTGTTAGTTAATGCCCAATTTCTTTCAGACGGTTGTTCGATGTTTGATTTTAAAAAGACAATGGATCATGTAGACTTAACATTGTGTCGGTTTTGTCACAGGAGTTAGAGATTTGGAGTGCTGTAAAGTGCCTATAATGAATATAGCTTTAGATCTTTGCAAATGTAAAAGCTTGCATTTAACAGATCCTAAGCTGATGATTTTTAACTCATTCACTTTAAAGTAGTTATCATTACCACGGTTTGACTTGATAATCTCGAATAAATTGAGCATCGGGTAAATTGCTATCAATAATATCCTAATGAGTAGGAAAGTTAATTTTTCTGACGTTTCGTGACTCAGTGTAAGCCACATCTTCAGGGAATGAACAACCGAATCAAATTTAGTCCAAATTTAAATAGTACCTACTATTAATTTACTTATCATTCATTTTAACTTTATCGACCGAATTTTGCTTATGTTAACCCGTTTTTCTATTAGTCTTTGATTAATGCTCACGTGTAATATCATGTTATAATACTGATTAGTACTGAGCTTACTAGCCCGATCGATACTAGTATCTGATCGTCCATATTTATCTTTAGCTATGATGGTTCGTTAACAAGCTTTATTAGCATCTACATGCTTCAGTAAAATAGACTTGTTAAAACATCAACTACTAGCAAATATGGCTCTTGATCCACGTAAATGCACATAGTCTGACGATTAGTGCGAACAACGGTTGGGCAGTTATCATCATCTAATTTTTTATCTTGTCTCCTCACCTAACGTTTCACTCTATCTTAGACTATGGACTATCCCCCGATTATTTTTTCTTTCGACTACTGCCTGCCTAATTTATACTTTTTGTGTTCGATTTCCAAACAACGCAGACAATATCCCAGGAACTTACGGTGAGTTTAGGCCATATGGTTTCACAATCCTGAGCTCGTTTCTGATTATTCGTATGGTGAGACTCTGGATTTTTGTTGAATCAACTGAGTGACAACGTCATTCATCATTCGCACCCAGGAATTGATTGCAATAATGCCTGTTTAATCTAGTTCCTTTTAAATCTATACCATTAGTCATGGGTAGCTTCTTATAAGTCAGATCTATTGGATAATCTCACTTTCGAAAATAGTCCAGGGGAATTTAACTGTTTTGAGTGATCTGCCATGTTTCTGATACTTCTTAACATGAATATACTTTCGCATTTAGACTAGCTATATATATTACATATGAACCACTCCTAAGATCGTTCCTGGTATGAAACATATATAGTAGCTCTAAAAGACGACATATTGCTATGAGCAAGTATGTTGTTTTCAGAGGAACCATATTAGATTCAGCATTGATTTGACACTTCATAGTTCTGATTATAATTACTACATATCTATGGATGTTACTAGGCTAACTACAGCAACTGCTTATGAAAATTATATATTATACCCGTCATGTTTCTAACTGCAGTACTGTAAATCATGCTCTAACCTTTATTTTTTTCTGCCGAGTTTTTCCACTTGATATATTTCTCATGAACATATACGTTGACCTGACTTGAATATGTGTTGCATTGTATGTTCTTCATGTGTTTCGAATTTAATTATTTTAACCACCCTGAACATTTTTCACTGGATCTAAAAAAACCTAGTTTGATTGGTTTTATTTTATTATTTTATTTTAACACATAGATATTGGTACAAGGAGGCACCAAATACATATGCGCCACACGTATCTCGATTGATTTGTGTGAGGGCTGTGATACTGCCCGGGTGCCCAAACTAAAGCAGGTGGTTTTCTTAAGGGGCCGCACCCCGAGCCTTCGACCTGAAGATCTGACCCACAAGGCAGTGGGGCATCGTGAGGAGATGCAGTCCCATGGTAGCCGGTGACCAAGAAATTGGTTCATACGCCATTTGTTCCTTCAGGATACTGGAGCCCATGTGCCTCATTGGTTTGGGGTCCGGTTAAAGCACCGGACATTCGCTTTTCGTCCTCTCATTTTTGACTGCAAAAATATAAGTAAATGTCGAAACATTAAAGCCCGAGTATTTATTCACTTCTTTATTTTATATAAAAATAACATTTCTTATTATCTTATATCGAATGTTGAAGAACTTTGTGTGTTTGTAAAGGTGATCCAGCGCTTCACATCACCTCCCACGAGTTAAAAATAAAGACCACTTCATAAATAGTCTGATTTCTTCTAACTGCAAGACAGGGGGTACCCGGAAGCACAATAAACCCATCATAGTCGCTTCTGCTATGTGTATCCTGGTTTATAAGTTCGGTATTCATATTAGTTGCTTAAAAAGGACGTTCAACGTAGTTAACGTAACAAAGTCACCGCATTAAGATATTATCGTACTCTAGTGGTACGATAACTAAACTATCATGTAGTTGTTACTCAAGCAGACATTCAAAATAAAAACTCTGGAGCCTCCTATTAAAATTAACACCAAGCGAACAAATACAGATGGATCGCAATTTTCAATTTAATCGGGCATATCGAATCCGTTAATGCTACAAACTTCCGATATTTCCGAATCACGTCAAACAACAGTATCCATTTTTCACTAGCTAATCCGCAATCGACAATGCACATAGTTATTCACAGTGGTTTCTGGATTTCATCGCAAAGCATTGTCATGAATTGACAAACACCTAATATAATTGATAAAATTAATGAAACTATTAACGTAAATTCGGTCGACAAATGAATTTATAATTATCACTAATTAACACTTTTTTCTCTTGGTAATTTTTATCTGCCAAAGATGATTTCAGCATGCTTCTCTACCACTTGCTCATACAGTTAACATCTTAGAACCTTGTCAGTCTAACTGGAGTCTAAGCGAAATAATCATGCATGCAAATCATCAGTATATGCTCACCAGATCGCCACAACCGGCAACTCTTCTCCAGGCTCTGTAACGGCGTCCGCGAAACAGAAACCTCTCCGCTTCTTGGTTGGCAGCAACACCAGATGCTATGAATGAAAACACAATCGTAGAACTACCAAATGTAGTTGGATGCAACATTTTAAAACATTTCGGTATAATCTAGAAAGCGTACAGTAGATACTTTATTTGCAAAATATTCATCAGTTGTCTCAAACTTTCTTCCTCCTTCATTTCTATACTAATCGCTCTGTGTCCTTGTTCTCTTCTCTTCCATTTTCTCAACCTTCTGTAGCCAGACATTCCACTTTCGATTGTTAATACGTACTACCATGTCTGTCGACATCAGAAGTACACCACAATACCACACTTCAGTTAACTTATCAACCAACGGTTATTACTATGCATCTAAATGCAACTTGTTGAAATAACTCTGCAATAAATCATTTTTCATTGAGGTAAACACATCTTGTTTGGCTCTAAAATAGTTTCGAGGTGGATTTTCGTTTTAAGAGTGTTAGGAACGAAACCGAACGTTCTTGAAGCCATTGCATGTATTTTTCCATCAGTTGCTGCCGTCTTCTTTTTGATTAATCTTCCATTTTAATGGATACCCGGAGGATTCGTATTATACATTTGGTAACTTCCGGCCCACGACACTGTCACTCGACGTCATATCGAACCAACTTCACGTTGATTCAGATATGAGAGCTGTGTAGTGGTGTTGTTACATAACCACACGACCTTTGAAGCTAAGACGATTTACATTCAGCACGTGATACTAAGAGAAGGCCAAGGATCGAAATGGCATGGCCCGGTCATGCAGACGCAGTCACTATTCATTACCTCTCGTATTTTCATCAAAAATGTTGCTCTCTTCTCAGGCCAAATGCGTTCTGGAGAAATGCTAGATGTCACATTGATGAGCGTCACGATAGGACGAGTCAGTGCACACTATGCTGTGACCTTCAGGTAAAATCTTATAGATCAGGTAGTCACACTGACAAATCTTAGACGTTGGGATTGAGTCTATTACTATCGTAGTAAAGATAAATGTACTGGTATCGAATCAGAATTCTATATTGTACCAAAATATAATATTGAATAAAGCCATAAATAAATAAATAAATAAATTTCGACACACTCATATTTCGTTCACTAATCTTTAGCACTGGCTAGTTGTCAAAACTAACCTCTATAGCACTTCTTAATATTCAAAATCAACAGTTGATCTACTGTCGGATAATAAACGAAATCTTTTGAGCAA